AGCACCACTTCCGGCTTTTTTCTTTTTGCTTATGTGGTGCTGAGGAATCAAACCCAGGGCCTCAGGCATGTAAGGCAAGTGCTCTACCACTGAGCCATCTTCCCAGCCCTGAATATATTTTTTTAAAAAGAAAACTTTCTCATCTTTGTCTAATCTCTTCCACTGAAGAATATTTAGTATATATCATTTTATTATTTGAATTTTTATAAAACAATCTTCAAGCAGATCAATTAGTACTTGCCACATGTTAGGAGGTATGTCTCCATAGTGGAGTGTTAGTATGCACAAGGCCCTGAGTTCAGTTCCTACCATCCTTTTCTTGAACCTGTTAGAAAACAAAAAATAAGGAATTGGCATAACTTCCTCAATCTTATGCTCTGTGGCCTTTTCAGGTGATGCTGAGGACTCTGTAAAAGCATATTCTTTCACTTTAGGAGTAAGCGCAGGATGGTTATGTAAGCATAGCAGTCAAAGGTCCTTTAGGAGATGTTGGATGTTTTAAGTAACATAGATCTGATTAATTAATCATTCCTTAGTTCAGCTTTTTCAAATGAGAAATGGAGATGGTTGTTAGGTGGAATTTTTTGTTCTTGTAAACCAAGGTAAACTTGAATCAGGATTTTATGACAAGGGATGAGGGAAAGAACAGGGAATTTTCCATTAGCTAGATCAAGGCCTACTGTTCACCTGGGGCACTGACACTACAAATGGGAGAGAAATGGAACACATTGGGAAGACAGCAGTGTCTACAGTAGTAGCTGGTAAAATAAAGAATGTTTTTGGTGGAATCTTTTTTGTTTTACTCAGTAGGTTTTAAAAACAGCATTGTATTTTTATTTTTTGCCAGTCCTGGGGCTTGAACTCAGGACCTGAGCACTGTTCCTGAGCTTCTTTGGCTCAAGACTAGCATTCTACCACTTGAGCCATGTGCCACTTCTGGTTGTTGTTTTGTTTTCTGTGTATGTGGTACTGAGGAATCGAACCCAGGGCTTCATGTATCCTAGGCAAGTACTTTACCACTAAGACACACTCCCAGCCCCTTAAAAAATGTTCTAAATATCCTGTTTGTTTCAGATATAATTCAGGAAGACAGAAGGTCAATACTACTCAACCATGTCTAGAATTCCAGCCACCCAATAATCATGGTCTGATGGTAAACAACGGATCCTGGTTTTGTTCCAAGAAAGATCTTCACCTTCTCAGGATGTTGCAGTCCCTAACTTCAGAGGAGAACCATTTCTGCAAGAGAATAATTGAGTTTTACAGCCGCTAGCTACAGACTTAGTATTTTTATTTTAGAAATACTGGAATTTTAAATTGCAATTTGGATGAATGTTCATTTTTCTTATAGTACTCTTATTCATGCTATATGCAAGTTCTCTATCACTTGAACTTTTGTTGGTGTTGTTATTTAAAGATAAGGTTCAAAGCCATCTTGAGAACTCTGAACCCCCAAGTAGCTGGCATTCAAGGGGTGTACCTTAATACCTAGCTTGAATGAATATTCTCTAACTTTTTTTGGCTAATGCCAGCTTGTAACAGTTGTTTGGTAAATGTAACCTAAGACCTTAAGATGTGTATTTAAAGCCGGGCGCTGGTGGCTCACGCCTGTAATCCTAGCTACTCAGGAGGCTGAGATCTGAGGATCGAGGTTCAAAGCCAGCCCGGGCAGGAGAGACTGTGAGACTCCTATCTCCAATAAACCACCAGGAAGTGGCGCTGTAGCTCAAGTGGTAGAGCGCTCGCCTTGAGCTGAAGAGCTGAGGGACAGCGCCCAGGCCCAGAGTTCAAGCCCTACGACCAACCAAAAAAAAAAAAAAAAGATGTGTATTTAAAAAAAAAAAAAACACAAAAACTCTATAACCTACCAATGGCTGATGTTAGTAATGTTAGCTACTCAAGAGGCTGAAGGAACACAATTTGAAAACAGCTGGAAAAAAGATCTGAGTAGACCTTTTTGCTTAGCATATGGAAAGACCATCACTAGCCATCAAGAAAAAGCTAAAATGAAGTACCACTTCATGCTTGCCAGAGTGAGGCCATGAAAAACGAGAGCCCTCATACATTGCCAGCAGAAATGCAAAAATGATTTGGCTCCTTTGGAAAACAGTTGGTCCATTTCTTTCTTGAAAAGTTAAATATAGTTTATCATATTACTCCCCAATTCTGTTTGGTATTTTCTTTTACCTTAAAGGAAATGAAAAAGTATGTAAGTGCAAAGAATTTTAGGTAAATGTACATAAAAGTGCTATTCCTATTTTGTGTGTGTCCCACTCCTGGGGTTTAATCTCAGGGCCCGGGTACTATACCTAAGCTTGTTTTGCTCAAGTCTAGTGCTCTACCATTTACACCACAGCTCCGCTTTCGGCTTTTTGGGTGATTAATTGGAAGGAGTAAGAGCAACTCCAGACATGGAAGTTTATGACTGGGCACAGTGGTGCACATTTGTTATCTCAACTACAAGGACTGATGTAGTATATGGCTGACATCCCAGCGGCAGGGAAGCAATCTGTGTTGGAAATAACCAGCACAAAAAAGGGCTGCAGGTGTGGCCCAAATAGCCTATCTGGAAAGCACCAGGCTCTTGAATTCAATCCCAGTAATGTAGAGAGAAGGAAAAAGTCCACTGGTCAGACACTGAAGATGCAACAATAAAGACTTACCACTGTTCTTAAAATCTTGAGCCTGCCTGTAGGATGGGTCACAGCTAAAGAACCATTTTGGTAATAAACTGTATGGTCACACCAACAAAAAGGTGCAGTCTGCCGGCAGAGGGAAGGGGACTTAGAGGGCCTAGAAATATAGGGCAGAGGGTTAGGGTTATCCACACAATCAGGAGGACAAGAAGGGAAGGGACAATCCAGACAGCACCACTGGAAAGACCCGGTGGAACATCATGTAACTAACTCCCAGACCTATTCTCCTACAATCTCAGAAGCCTGAAATTGGAAAGTGCTCAGAATAGCATCAAACATGATTAAGAAGTGTCAGCTGGGATCAGAGCCTCTCTTAAGAAGCAGAACTCTTGAAATGTGTTTCCAAACAGATGGGAAAGAAAATGACTCAAACTACAATTGAAAAACTTAGGAAGGACCTCACAGAGCTGAGCACTGGCCGCGCAGGCTCAAGGAGCCGCTGTCCCAAGGGGGCAGCTGTGGCGCTCTCCATGGCATGTAGAGATGGCATTCCTACTGATGAGGACCGCACTACTGCATTGAAAAGGGAATCGTAATTACCACACGAAAGGGACTCAACCCTTACAATACGCTGGCCCCCAGAGCAGCTTCAGGCACCAAGGAAGGCCCTAATTTGGCGCCATCCATCAGCAATAAGCTGCATCTGTGAAGACAACTGTACTGTCATCTGGGTCTGACTACACGAAGGGGAAAACTCAGCCATGTCCAAGTTGGTGTCACACTAGATTGCCAAATGAACCCCGTACTAGAATGTGCTAGAATGTGTTCTTAGAATGTGCTGTTAAAAGGGCTTGATATGTGGCTTAGTATGGAGTGCTTGCCTAGCATGCATGAAGCCCTGGGTTCTATTCCTCAGTACCAAATACACAGAAAAACAGAAGTAGCGCTGTGTCCAGGCCCTAAGTTCAAGCCCCAGGACTGGCCAAAAAAAAAAAAAGTGCTGTTAAGTTTCTTCTTTCCAATAAGGACTAACCATTGCGTTGATTTCTCCCCCTTCCTCCCCAAAAAAACGTACAAAGTTAATTTCTATCATCCTTTCTCCTTCCTACCTTCTCTATTCCTGTACTTTTTCTAGAACCTTGGTAACACCCTGAGCTCCAGCTTACCCAAGCTCTCAGAATTATCATGTAAACTCTGCCCTGTGCCTTCAACCTTGGCAAGGTTTGACAGCTAGTTCCCCAGGGCCTTCTGCCGGCAGAGCTAGATCCCCAGGTGGCATGGTTACTGAAGCAGCATCACCTTCCATAAAGTACAACCTCCAGGTTTTCTTGTAAAGTTCAAGTTTCAAAGAACAGGGAAGATGCTGTTGCTCTTTCAGGGAAGAAGATGGGTTCTGGGGAAGCTTTTACTACAAACATCAATAGTGTGATCGAGTTTCACTTTCTATTTAAGAACTCCAGGAAACAGTTCATGTGTGTGAATATTCAGAGTAATTACTTTCTTATAAATTTTGCCCTTTGTTTCTATTTTCATGAGATCTTCAAACTCTAGCCTTACTAAAAACCAGGCATGGTGGTACACACTTGTAATCCCAGCACTCAGGCTGAGATAGAAGGATTCTTGCACAGAGGGGTTTTCAATTCAGTGTGTCAGTTTATGAGTTACAGTGCATCTTTATCAGTGTCAAGTCTTTCATAATTCTCCCTCATCTCTCCCAACCCTACCCATTCCCTGAATAGACAGGAGGAGTCTCAGTTCAAGGCTGGTTTGCGCTTCATACCAGACCCCTGACTGGAGATATAGTTCAGTGGGAGAACACTTGCATAGCATGCATAAGGCCTCAGGTTCAACAACCAACATGCACATTCACATGCACGTACATGCGCGTGCACGGGGCTTTGCTTCAGGAGAAAAAAAGCAAGATCCCATTAGGTTTAACGTACTTAATGAAGTCTTTTCAACATACTCAGCATCTTGTCATAAATCATGCCCAATAGCAAGTTGACTTTTTTTCTCACTAGGGAACAAAATTAACTTCTTAAATATTTGCATACAATACAACTAAGGAAAATGACACTATTTTGAATGAATCTCAGTCTGGAAAATCTTCAATAGCTTCTTGCCCTGGTAGAAAAAAAAAGGATGTCCACAAACCCATCTCTGCTAGATGTGCAGCAGCACCTAGAAGACGGAGGCAGGGCAGGGACTGCTGAGTGCTGCCTTGTAACTAACATTCCTGAAGGAATGTCCTAAGTTACTGTTCCCCCATAAAGCTCCCTTCCAAATGAAACTAACAAGAGAAAAACTTGTAGCCAGGCTCATATCTGTAATCCTAGCTACTCGGGAGGCTGAGATCTAAGGATCATAGTTCAAAACCAGCCAGGGCAGGAAAGTTAATTCTCATCTTCAGTTAACCAGCAAAAACCTGGATGGAAGTGGAACTGTGGCTCAAGTGGTAGAGCACCAATCTTAAGCAAAAAAAGCTCAGGGACAGTGCCCAGGCCTGAATTCAAGCCCAGGACCAACACACACACACACAAACACACAAACTTGTGAAAAGTCTCCATGGCTGTCCAGCTTCTATAAATTGTCAGGCCTCTGCTTGTCTTCCTCTTGGGGAAAATCAAATAATAAACATTTTGGAAAACTGATTACCAGTGAATGACATGACTAGTGAAAGTGGCACAGGAGCTCTTCCCTCTGAACCATGTGGCCTCACCTCTGGCCTATAAGAAAATCCACTCCAGCTGGTGGCTCACGCCTGTAATCCTAGCTACTCAGGAGGCTGAGATCTGAGGATCGAGGTTCAAAGCCAGCCCGGGCAGGAGAGACCGTGAGACTCCTATCTCCAATAAAAAACCCACCAGAAAACCGGAAGTGGCGCTGAAGCTCAAGTGGTAGAGCGCTCGCCTTGAGCTGAAGAGCTGAGGGACAGCGTCTAGGCCCAGAGTTCAAGCCCCACGACCGACAAAAGAAAAAAAAAAAGAAAATCCACTCCAAGAGGTGATAGTTTTCATCTTGCTTCCTAGAAACCTCTTCAGTCATAACCTAAGCAAAAGAGAAGAATGCATGACTTAAGTAGAAAGCTAGCCAACTTACAACAACTTCAGGAAGTTTTGTACTCCCTTAGGGCTTGCAAAAACCCCGTCTTGCAGGCCAAAAGCAAATTCTCCATCACCTAGTTCTAGGTTGCATAATTAAAGTAGAAACTGGTTTATTTTCTAACATGCAGACTGACAGACACAAGATGACAATGCTTGTATTGAGATAAGCAGGAAAAGTCCAGCCCTGCAGGAATGCCTAGCTGATCCCTACCTGCTAGGCCACATAGCCAAAGCAGAATCTGCTTCATTTGGGCACTGTGAGGTGAACACACAGATAATTCATATAATATCGTGTAGAGCTTTTCAGAGGGGAAAAAAATGACTAACATCTTGCTTGCTCCCCCATCCTTATTCCTTTCGTAGCTTTCTCTCAGTGTCCCATTAACAATTACCATCTTTGGGGGGAAATTTACTGATTTTTTAGAGAGCCCCATACATTGTCAAAGTCATCCAGAATGGCTCTCATCTTTATTTTCCACATTGAGCTTCCAGATAAGATCGTCTTTGTACAGAGTTTTGCCATTACACTGAAGTAAGCATAAATCCTCTCACTTTAAAATTAGGTCCAGGGGACTGGGAACGTGGCTCAGTGGTAGAGTGCTAGCTTTGCATGCATGAGGCCCTGGGTTTGATTCCTCAGTACCACATAAGCAGAAAAAGCCAGAAGTGGTGCGTGGCTCAAGTGGTAAAGTAATTGAGCTGAAGAGCTGAAGGACAGCACCCAGGCCCAGAGTTCAGGTCCCACGACCAACAAAAATTAAATTAGGGCCAAAGAAGGTAGTCAGCCAGTTTTGGCACAGCAACTGCTAGAACCCGTTTCTCAAAAACTCCTTGTCT